AAGAGGAGGAGGAGGAGGAGGAGGAGGAGGAGCAGGAGGAGGAGGGGGAGGAGGAGGAGGAGGAGGAGATAATCATAATAGGCATAGACAAAATACTCTTAGTGGTAAGTATAAGAGATATAAGGAGACACTAGGGGACTGCAGGGGACAAAAGGAGACACTAGGGGACAGGAGGGGACAAAAGGAGACAGTAGGGGAGAGGAGGGGACAAAAGGAGACAATTAGGGGAGAGGAGGGGACAAAAGGAGACAATTAGGGGACAGGAGGAGAGGAGGAGACAGCTAGGGGTTATAGGTATTTGTTACAACTGTCTCCTTGTGCATAATAAGCAGCAACAAGAATAAAATAAATAAATAAATAAAATAAATAAATAAATAAATATATTTATTTATTATGTTATGTATACAGCGGAGGTCTCCTTTGTATCCCATGAGGCCGTCTGTGCTGCACTAGCAATGAATGGCAAACCCCTCCCTCGTAAGTGTGGGGCCCCACAGCAGCGTGGGGATCGTATGCAGAGGTCTGCTGCTGCTGCTGCTGCTGCAGCAGCAGCACCGTCACATCTTACACTTAAGGTACAGTTACTCCCTCCTGATAATATTGATCAATGCTTCTCTATGTTTAGATCGGGGGGCCTCGGGGGCCCCTCTTCTGCTGCAGCAGCAGCAGCAGGTGGTGCTGCAGCAGCAGGTGGTGCTGCAGCAGGAGCTGGAGAGGGACAAAGAAGGGGACACACTGCAGCAGGAGCACCAGCAGCAGCAAATGCAGCTGGGTCTCCTCTTAGTAGAGGGGGGGGGCCCTCAGGAGGAGGTATGGGGGGGGGCCCCCGCTCCTCTAATCTTGATAATAAATGGCGTAAGAAGGGGAGGGGTACGGATGCTGCTGCTGCTGCACCTGCTGCTTCTTCTTCATCTCATCAGGGAAGCAGCAAGGAACAGCAGCACGAACATCCGAGCAGCAGCAACAGCAGCAGCAGCAGCAGCAGCACCAACGGTACTGCACCTGCAGCACCGCTTGTTGCCCCTAAAGATCTTCTAAAGGAACAACTTAAACCCCAAGGGTACGATTATACAACTCTAGGGTTTAGGGTTTAGGGTTTAGGGTTTGGGGTTTTCGTTATAGCGTTGAAGGCGAAGGGTTTAACATTGAGGGTTTAGAGCTTATGGTTTAATATTGAGGGTTTAGGGTTTGAGAATTAGGGTTTAGGGTTTAGGGTTTGAGAATTAGGGTTTAGGGTTTAGGGTTTAGGGTTTGAGAATTAGGGTTTAGGGTTTAGGGTTTGTGTGTTTAGGTTGAAGTTGAATCCCGCAATATTTGGTGAGGCAAAACCACGTGATGAGGCAGCAGTGCTGCAGCGTCTTAGGGAGGGGAGAGAAGCAGGGGCATCTAAGGCAGCAGCAGCAGCAGCAACAGGTGCAGCAGCAGGAGCAGCAACAGCAGCAGCAACAACTGCAGCAATGAATCTGCAAGCGGCAAAAATGCCAGTACCCCCTCCACCACCACCACCACCGCAGCAGCAGCAGCAGCAACCGCAGCTGCGCTGGAGGAGCAACAATGTGCCGCAGCAGCAGCAGCAGCAGCAGCGGCAGCAGCAGCAGCAGCGGCAGAATTCCCCTGAGAGGCAACAAAGACGTAGACAAGATCCTCTCTGTGGGGCAAAACCGCGGGAAGGTCTTCCTCTTATTTCTCCTCAAGAGGTAGGTGCAGCAGAAGCAGCAGGAGAAGCAGCAGCAGCAGCAGCAGCAGCAGCAGCAGTATCTGTTGCGTTGTTCAGGGACTGCAAACAGATCCTGTTGCTGTTGCTGTCATCCTTGTAGATATGTAATTGCTGCTGCTGGTGGATTCATTATTTGCTGCTGTTGCTGCTGCTGCTGCTACAATCATTTATTATATGTGTGTGTATGTTCTTGCTGCAGCAGCAGCAGCAGCAGCGGGCTTCGCTGTCGCTGAAGCCACCAACATCCGCAGGTGCAGCAGAAACAGCACCTATGAAGGGTACAGCAGCAGCAGCAGGTTCCCCTGCAGCAGCAGATAGGAGGTCTGCTGCTGTATGGGGGAACCGTCTTGCTGCTGCTGCTGCACCGCAGCAGGGAGCAACATCGCCTATACGCCGCAGTTGGCGGTCGGGACCGGACACTGCTAGCAGCAGCAACAGCAGCAGCAGCAGCAGCAGCAGCAGCAATACAGACGCAGCAGGTGGTGCTGGGGGAAGGAGGAGGAGCAGCAGCAGGGGGCCCACTGGCGAGGCGCAGCAGCAGCGCAGCAGACAGGGTACGGTGTCAGGGGCCAGTGAAGCAGCAGGGGCCCCAGGGGAACAGCAGGAGCAGCAGCAGCAGAAGCAAGGTAGCGCAGCAGGTGCAGCACGACCAGGCGCAATAGCAGCTCAGCTGCTGCAGGAGAGAGCAGCGAAGAATCAAGAAGAGGAAAAAGAGCAGCAGCAGCAGCAAGAGCAGCAGGAGCAGCAAGGCAGGAAGACAAAAGGGAGACAGGTGAGGATTAGGCAGGTGTTGCTGCTAAATGTTACACAGGCATTGCTTGCTGCTGCTGCTGCTGCTGCTGCTGCTGCTGCTGCTGCTTGCTCACTCATGATGTGGGCTTCTTCTGCTGTTGCTGCTGTTTCTTTGCAGACGAGAACAGAGGGAGCAGCTGATGCAAGCGGAGCGCAGCAGCAGCAGCAGCAGCAGCAAGCTGAGGGTAGCTCAGCACATCAGGGGCCCCCTGAGGAGTCTCCGAATGGTGCGAGACAATCTCATCAGCAGCAGCAGCAGCAGCAACACCAGCAGCTGCAGCAGCAACACCAGCTGCCGCTGCCTCCACCACCACCACCACCACCGCACCAGCAGCAGCAACAGCAGCAGCACGGCCACCGCGGCGGAGGCAGGGACGAATGGAGAAGCAACAGATGGGGGGCCCCCCGATGGGGCCCCACCTCTTCTGCTGGTGGAGGATTTGTGCGGAGGTCCTCAAAGGACGGTCAGAGGGGCCCTGGTGCTGCTGTTGCTGCAGCAGCAGCTGCTGCTGCTGCTTCCTCAGCAGCAGCAACGGGACCCAACGCCGGAAGCAGCAGCCTAAATGCGCGCAGTGTGAGTACAGATGATACACAGAGGAGTACATGAGAGTTTGCTGCTGTTGCTGCTTCTGCTGCTGCTGAACCTGTCGTGCTGCTGCTGCAGAGGGAAATACTGCTGCTGCTGCTGTTGCTGCTGCTGCTGCTGTTTCTTAGGCTGACGTCGGGGGCCCTACAGATGGTCTGACTGCCTCACCAGCTGGATCCGGTAAGCAGCAGCTACCTGCTCCCTCATTGCTGCCGTTGCTGCTGCTGCTGCTGCTGCTGCTGCTGCTGCTGTTGCAGTATTTTTGTCTGCTGCCCTGGTGCTGCTGTTGTATTCGTTGCTTTACCATATAGCGCTGCTGCTGTTGCTGCATTTGCATAAATATGTACATTCGTGCTGCTATTGCTGCTGCTGCTGCTGCTGCTGCTGCTGCAGGGATGGGACGTGATAAGGGGCAACGAAGACAGCGCGGCTCTGCGCGTAGTAAGAGGGAAGACGAACAAACAGCAAATAGAAAATGGAGACACCAGGGTACGCAGCTAGCTGCTGCTGCTGTTGCTGCTGTTGCTGCTGTTGCTGTTGCTGTTGCTGCTGATTCTTCTTTGCACTTGATGGCACAATTTGTGTGGATTTTGTGAGTCCTACCCTTTTGCTGCTGCTGCTGCTAATGCTGCTGCTGTTGCTGCTGCTGCTGCTGTGTACAGGTGGTGGTGTGGGAAGGAGCGGCGGAGGGATGGGAGAGAGGCGATCTGTGATGGGGGGCCCCTCTGACGAGCACCAGGGGGCCCCCGCTGCCTCTGCAGGTGGAGACGCAGCAGCAGGAGCTGCTGCTGCTAGGGACTCTGCAGCGCCGCCTCAGCAACAGCAGCAGCAGCAGCAGCAGCAGCAGCAGCAGCAGCAGCAGCAAGCGGGCCGACAGCAACCTAATGCCTCTCGAGATGCGTAAGGAGTGTGTTAGATATATTAGATTGTTTCTTAGGTGCTGTACTTATGTCTCTGTTTTTGCTGCTGCTGCTGCTGCTGCTGCTACTGCTGCTGCGTCTCTCTTTGTCTCGTAGTGTTTCCTGTGTCTCCTTTATCTTTTCCCGTCTCCTCCTGTGTCTCCTTTTTCTGTTTCCCTGTGTGTCTCCTTGAGGGTTTAGGGTTTTATGATTTATTTGATTGTTTAGTGTTTATAAGGTTATTTAGAGGGTTTAGGGTTTTTAAAAATTTTTAGGGTTTAGGGTTTAGGGTTTAGGGTTTAGGGTTTAGGGTTTAGGGTTTTGTTCTCAGGGCGAGGGTTTCAGCTGTACAGACAGATAACCGCTTTTCTGCATTCGCAGATGCATCAGGGGATTCCGATTAATAATTCTTTAAGAGGAGACAGTTGCTGCTGCTGCTGCTGCTGCAGCAGCAGCAGCAGCAGCAACTGCAGCAGCAGCAGTAGCAGGTGTAGTAGAAGGAGCAGCAGCAGCAAATATTGCTGCTGCTGCTGCTGCTGCTGCTGCTGCTGCTGCTGCTGCTGTTATCCCTTTTTCTCCCCCATCTCCGCCGCAGCGGCTCAAGGATTAGCCGCGCCTATTTTATATACAATAAATAAATAAATAATATATTTATATATTAAAAAGGAGACACTTTATTGTCTCCTGTCTCCTTGTGTCTCCTTCTGTCTCCTCTTTATGTCCGATGTCTGTTGTATACGCATGCAGTATATATATATATATTATATATATA